CTGAACAACAGGTCAACCTGGAGCTGGGCTGCCGTGAGTCGCCGGCGATGGCGTAGGCTGCAGCCCCTGCTGCAGTGGGTTGCCATGGGCTACCATGTATGGCCAGCAGCCAGCATGGGCGGCCAGCAGCCACCGTGAGTGGCCGTCCAGAGGCCAGCGACATCTGCCTCGCCCGGGAAGAGTGTAATGATGGTGCCAACTTGGGCCAGTGAAGCAACGTCCTCCACAACTAGACTGAAGAACAAAAGAACATCAACTTGTCTGTTCCCTCCCCCAATTCCCCAATAAAATCTTTAAAAAAAAATGTGTCCTATAGGTAAAAAAATGAATTAATAAGTAAATGAATGAATGAATGAACAAACAAACACTAACCTGACCCTCAGTGCCCATCCATGCAAGCTGAATCCATCTGCACATCTGCTCACATCCAGCTGCCAGCTGGGCGCCTGCACCTGTAGCCTCGCCCGCCTACAGACAGCCCTGCATGCCTCGGGCACTGAGCCCTCCCTGCCACATGCCGGTCACCAGAGCAGCTGCAGGTGACCGTTATCCCCAGCTGGGGAAGGCCTGTGGGGATGGGGAGGGCTGCCCAGAGGAGAGAAGGTTTGGCTGGGTCCTGGAGCTGCAAGAATTCGCCAGGCTCTCTCCGTCAGCACAGGAGCCTGCTTTGGCATCACCCATCTTCCAAAAGACCCTCCTGGGCGTCCAGCCCCTTCTCCAGGCTCTGCTTGATCTCTGAGTCTCCTGAGTAAATGTCTGTAAAAGACGGCCCGTTCTTGACTCCTGGAGGCTGTCTTTCCTGCTGTTCCTCCCGCCTCACTCCATCTCTTCGTAAAACCCTGTACTGACTTCTAAATATTGGGGTTCCTCAGCCACAGACACCAGGCCCCGTTCCCTTTCCCCAACCATGCCTATGGTTTAAATGCCACTGGGATGCTGGTGACCCCAGATTTCCATATGCAGTCAGCTCCGCCTCTGAGCTCCAGCACCAAGGTCCAACTCAATCAACATCCTGGCATCCCCATTGGACTTTAACTCCTTCTCACGTTAAACTATCATCGTCAATAATAATAATAATAATAACCACGATTATTGTCAAAACTAATAATAATAAGCTCAGTCACCCCCACCTCATTCAGGAATCACTGCGTATTTAATCGTTCAACCGAGACATCTGCATGCTGCCTTGTTTCCCTCTTTCTCTCCTGCATCTCGTGAATTGTAATCGCAGGGATGGCCAGCTATTTCTGAAGCCCCAGTGTAAGTATCAGTCAGGCCTCTTTCACGCTCAAAGGTGTCCCGATTGAACCCATCGATCACACAGGCAGCCTACTTAAACACACCTGGCTAGCTTCTGGCCTGTTCTCTGAGTTTCCTGAGAGCAGAGGTAACGATCTTGTCACATGTTTCTATCACCAGCACCTGACACAGTGAGTGGCACATAATAAACGTTGGTTAAACCCAAGAATGGCTGCGAGACTCACTTGCGATGAGATCAAAAGCAATCTCCAGAACTAAGTGACTACCCTACCCACAAGCCAGCTGTCCCCCTTTGCCGTAAGAGAGGACCGCTCTGGTCTGCAGGCCGTGGAGCCTGGAAAGGCTCCTTAAGCGAGTCCTCGTCCTCTCACCTTCACATGTGAGGTTCAGCTCCTGGGGGGACGAGGTCAGTGGCTCTGAGTTACAGATGCACTGGTATGAGCCATCCATGTTTAAGCACAGTTCCCTTTCAGAGCAGGCGTTGAGTTCCTCGTAGAAACATTCATTCACATCTATGAAAAAGGAGAACAGGTGAGCTGTAACCAGCTGGCCATTCTCATTAACCGCCAAACGTGTATCCTGTGAGCTGAGGAAGCGGACTGGGCAGCGGCCCCCAGGGTGCGTGGTGAAGCCCCCATCTTAGAGAGCCTGTAGGCCCCCGGGCCGCCTTCATCCAAGCGGCCGGCCCACGCCTCGGGACACACAGCACAGCTGACACGTGTGCCTGAGCGAATCGCTTTGGGGCTGTATTGACCCTGAAGGGTCATGAAATGATGGGCTCCCAACACCCTGCCCGAGAATTAATCTTGCGAGCTCACAAGATGACTCCACGACCAGGATAAAGTGAGACGGAGGAGCAAGGACACTGCACGATGTCGTCAGAGCCAGACCGAAAAAGGACTGCCGTGTCACCCACAAAACACCAACCCTCCCTTGGACAAAATGAGTGACTCTTGGTTTTTTAGCGTATCTTCAGGCTAGTTTTCCCCTCCCCATAAATCAGAAATACTGAGATACCCAATCATAGAATCGCCCCACTTTCTGGT